AAGCTTAAAGCCTACTCTACCCAATACCTGAGATGAGAAAGAGGACCACCAACTAGGGATAAGGTCGGAGAGGGAGTGTTCTTCTAGCCAGGCCATATCGAAACGGAAAGGTTTCGGGCCCCTTCGAAAGGCCTAGATGTTTAGGAGGATGGGGTAGTGATCCAAGGTAGGTTTAGGTAGAGTGAGGGCATGGGAGCCAGGGAAGGCAGCCTCCCAATCCAGAGAAAGTAGAAGATGGTCCAGCTTAGCAAGGGAAGGTTGAGAAAAATGGTTTGACCAAGTAAAACCATTCCCTTGGAGAGGAATGTCTAAAGTTCTTAGCGGGAGACAAAGTCTGAGAAGTCGAGCATTCCTTGTGAGATGCTTGGATTGAGATTCCTTTCAAAGGACCACCTGGTGATATTGAAATCACAGCCCAAACACCACGCAAAGTGGGGTAAAGAGGCAACCAGTTCAAGTTCAGACCAGAGACGTGGACGAAGGGAAACGGAGTTGGGCCTGTTAATAGCACAGAATTTGAAAGGAAAGCCATCTGAGACCCTAGAGAGGAGGACCGTTACAGAGAAGGCTCCTATGTGGGAAGAATGGAGATGGTACTCAGTTGGGTTCCAGAGCACCCAGATGCCTCCAGAAGCCCCGTACGCCGGTAAGGTAACCCAATGACAGGGTCTTCTACCCCACACCTCGCGGATTAACCGGAGGTTAGGCTCTGGTTGTTTGATCTCTGTTAAGGCTAAGATAGCAGGGCTAAGTTTGATGGAAAAATCCCTGACAGAGTCCCTTTTGGACTTCTGTCCCAACCCTCTAATATTCCAGGAAAGGATTTGCGTAGGTAGAAGGAGGGACAGTAGGGGAAGCAATCCTAACCGATTGCCTCAAAGGAAAAATAAGCGGTGGGGTGGAAGGAGTTAAGGCACCAACAGAGTGTTTGTCATAGCTGATAGAGGAGAAGAGGTTTAGCAACTCTCTTTGACCTTTTACGCTCACCTTGGCTCGGCTTCGGGTGTCTGCTTGCAAGAACCGGTGCGCCGCGCCTTCCGGGCCCTCGTGTTCGAAACCCATAACCGGGTATAAATCCTTCATTCTATCTACCAACCTGTGGTTCCCATCCCCGTCGACCCTCTCGGCTTCCGCTGCTGCCAAGGGGGTAGAGATGGGTGCAAGAGAGGTGGGTGCTGTAGAAGTTTTGGGTAGATCTTGGAAAGTAAGAGAACAAGGCAAGGAAGCAGGTGAAGGCAGCTCCAATAGAGGTTCCTGTGGTTTGGGAGGGGGAGAAACAAGGGTAGAGGTCTGGAGGTAAGGGGGGAGAGGCCACCGGAGTAGGGGTGGAAGCAGAGACTTCCGGCGTTTAAGAGACGGATCCAGGGGAAGCTACAGGGGAGGGGGTCGGCTGGAAATACTGATGAGAGGGGGGAGGGAAAGCACCAAAGACAGGGGAGGGGGGAGGGGGGCAAGAGAGGTTTCGCCAAGACCCTCGAAGGGACCAGGGTTAGGTGGGGGGGTGGGGGGGAGTAAAGTGGGAGGAAGTGGTGGGGGTAGGAGTGGGGAACAACATATGGCCAAGTAGAGTAGGTAGGAAAAGGGAAGAGAACAGTAGCTACCCTGCCGATATGGACAATTTGCGAAGATTGGGGAAATTAAGGGGCGACAAGCAAGGAGAGGCAGGTCAAGGGAGTGTACGACCATGATGCCATAAGGAAGCAAAGAGGTGTCCAAATCCATAGACGAAGGAGAAGAGAACCACACTAAAGACGACTGGAAGCAAACATCCTCTAAAGCAAGTGGCAGGAACGACAGGGAGAGGAGCAGAAGGGGCCAAGAGAAAGAGCCAAATTCTCGGCTCTCAGCTTGAGAGGGGGAGGTGAGGTGAGATAACAAGGTAGGGGGCCTTCCAGGGGGAGGTAGCAGAGGAGAGGAGGGGGAAGAGGAGACCCCCTATGAACCAAGAGGGGGCAAAGAAAGGAAGGAGAGGTTGGTATGACGGGGAGGAGGGGATGACTCACCCTTGGGAGGGGAAGAGGAGACAGGTGGCAGGAAGTCTGTCACTGACAAGACGGTGGTAGGTGAGATAGGGGACGCGGACGACTGTGGGAAGCCAGATGGAAAGGTGAGGGTTGAGGTGTCTAGGGGAGGTTGAGGTGGCTAGGGGGCAGGTGAAAGGAAGGAGCAGGCGTACGGGGGAGGTTGAGGCGGCTAGGGGCCAGGTGAAAGGACGGAGTCGGCGTACGGGGGAGGTTGAGGCGGCTGGGCCCGGCGAGATTCTTAGCATTAAATGCTAAAGCATGTGAAGAAGCTAGTGATAGCGAACCCAAGGACGAAGAGGACAGCCCCATCTGCCGCGTGTCAGGCATGCGGGGACAGATGGCAGGAGAGAGCCGAAGGCACAGGGACAAGTGTTTGGGCCTCGTCAGAGGTTCTCGGGATAAGGGTAATAGCCAAAGGGCCAGAGATGTGGGGGTCCGGGTCAGAGGCACTGCCCGACGGCCCAGGGGGGAAAGGGTGGTTCGTGTCCACCACTACCTCCTTCTCACGTCAATGTAAGAAATGGATCGAAAGGGCCGGGTTAGACCCACTGGGCTCTACTGCCTGGCCGTCTACGGAGCAGGGGGCCTTAGAACTGGGCTCAAGACCCACCTTCCCGGGTCGGTGTAAGAGAGGGACCGAAAGGCCCGGGCTAGACCCTCCAGGCTCTACTGCCTGGCCGTCTACAGGGCATGGGCCCTTGGAACTGGACTCGAGACCCACCTGTGATGCCTATTTGTTGGCAAAGGCAGAACCCCGGTGAGCGCCATGTGGTTGCCAGGAGGGGGGACATGCAGAAGATCTGGGCCCGGCGCGACCCGGGACAAGGACGGAACCTGGGGGCTGGTGGGGGCGATGCCGCTGGAGGTAGCGTGGATTCAAGGAAACTGTGGTCCAAGCAGAGGTTGAAGGACCCTTGGGCACGGGAGAAGTCGGAGAAACAAGGAAATTGGCTAAAGGAGGGGAAGCCTCCGACCATGAGAGAGAGATGGGGTAGAAGAGGTTGTTAGCTTCTATCCACACACAAGGTGGGATGAGCTTTGTATCCAGAACCTCCATAAGCAAACGGATGGAGCCAAGAGGGAGGGTTTCAATGGACTTCCAATGGATTGAAATCAGAGTTCCACAGGCTTCCACCACTCTCCCAAACGTGGACAGAGACCATGCATGGAGGGGCAAGTAGTGTAGGGTGAGCCAAATTTTTTTCCTTCTGAAGGCACCTTCCAGAGGGGTCCATGCATGAAGCCAGAGATTAGCCCCTTTGAAGGCTAGGGGTTGGGAGTTCTGTAACACCTGGCATGCTTGTTCTGTAGACGAGAAGGAAAAAAGGAGGTCCCCCCCGGAGATAGACCTGACGGTGATGTTTGGGTCCTGCCAGGTGCTTTGACCCCATTTTTCTATGCCTCTCGCATCACCTCGAGGGGGCTGGAACGTGCCAACCAGAGAGGCTAGGAATTTGACTTGAAGAAGGGAGGACTCTTCAGGGAGGATGGAGACGACGAAGGGGCAAAATGAGGAGGCCTTGCAAGGAGTGGAAGAAATCCCCTTTGTACCCACTGAGGAGGCAGAGGGAGCAGGAGAAGACGAGGGGCGGGCTGTTACCTACAAGTAGGAAGTAGGGAAAGAGGTGGTGGGATCCTCTGAAGCCACTTGAAAAGAGGCCAGTGGGGATGCCTCTAACTTCTTCGGTGCAGAGAGCAAGGGGCCAGAGGGCCGGAGGGGGGGCAGAGCCTTGGAAGGAGGAGGGGTAGAAAGGCGGAAGGGCTTGGGGTAGAGGTCATAGATAACACTCCAATTGAAAGGGGAGAGAGAGGAGGAAGGGAGACCACGATGTCTCCGCTTCTTCATACTTAACCATGACATTAATGGAGATTTAAGGAAGCAATAGTTCCTGCTCAATTTTTACAAGCATACCATTTTTCTTTTCCTCTTTTTTTTTCCTTCTTTTTTTCCCCTGCCTCTTTTTTTTCCCTGCCTCTTTTTTTTTTTCCTATTTTGAAAGAAACCATTAAAGGCTAGAGCAATGAAAACTGTGTCCATGGAAAAAAGAGGCCATGTGAAAAGACTCCAGGGATGAAAGAAACCAAGTGAGTCTACCTACCTGATGAAAGAGGCTAATAGGGCAGGTAAAATACTTCGATGAGAGAAGCCATTTGAAATGGTTGGAGCGGATCCAACTATCTAGGTGCTGGGCTGCGTCTCTCTCACCTTGGCGTGTGAGTAGGCCTTGGTTAGATGAAGTAGACCCATAGCCTGGGCTGGATAGGCCTAGTCCCTATGATGCGCATCGGATTCAGGGTACTCTATCGAGGTCAGTTTAGCCCAATAGTGGATGTCGATCTAGAAGGAACCCAAGAAACTCCTGAGTAGAACCGGACAACAGGAAACCAAAACCCCCATGCACGTGCCTCACCTTCTCTCTCTTTTACACTCAACAAAACCCTTTCGGACAAAGATATACCTTTCTGCTTTGGGTGAAGAATGCAATCATCGAGTTGTGTGAGGCGTAGAAGAGTAATTTAGTGAATATCTTTATATCGCGCTAGACCAAAAGTAGACAAATTTGGAGATGGAATCTCAGCCACTCAGAGAGATTTAAAATATACATTTTATGTTCTACCCATAATCCAAAAAACTCAACATCCCACCTTAAATAAGGGCAGAAAAGCAATTCTTTATTGGGACAATCTCAAAACTTGCATATAGAGGACGGCAACTTCCATAAAACAAAAAAGAAAATTGAAAAAGAAAAAAAGACAAAAGGTAAAAGAAATGGTTTATCACTCCAAATATAACGAAATGCAATTTAACCTACTATCTGGATGGGAATTTCAGAACAGTAATCTATGACAATATAAATGCATGATATGCCAGATTATATACTAATGAAGACAAAGGAAAAAGGAACAGTGAGTGATAAAAGAAAAGTGAAGAAGATTCTGTAAGTGAGAAAAATACATGAAGAGAAGATAACGCACCTTATTTGGCACTAAACCAGCAGATTTTATATCTTCCACCAGCTTATCAGCCTTTTTATGGTTTCCTTCCACAGCATATGCATTAAGCAAAGAGCTGTAATGGAAGATATTTGGGGAAAAACCCTCCGCTCTCATTTGCTGAAAGAATGTTTCAGCTTCTTCACATTGATTATTTGAAGCACAAATAGCTAAAAGAGACCCATATATGACGCTGTCCATGCAAAGACCGCTAATTTTTAGTTCCTTGATTAGCTGCAAAGCCTGTGAATAGCCATTTTTATTTTTATTGCAACCTGCAAGAAGCTGGCAGAGAGAGAGGCAAAGATGATCAGAAAACTGAGACCCTTAAAGAACTCAAACTATAAATATTCAAGAGAAATATAAGAGCTTAAAAAGCATGTATCAGTTAGGGACTTGAATATTCAAGAGAAATAAAAGAGCTTAAAAACCATGTATCAGTTAGGGACTTGAATATTCAAGAGAAATAAAAGAGCTTAAAAACCATGTATCATGCATCAGTTAGGGACGACAAGCTAATATTGCTTACTGAACTATAGGTCACAGTATCCGGAGTGAGACCCCCCTTCTTCATCTGTTCAAACAACTTGATACTGCTCTCAAATTTTCCATTCCTAGCCAGACAGCCCAAAATGGAATTGCATACAGTCACATCGTAAAGTGTAGGTTCATCCTTTATACTCTGGTATACTTGTAAAGCTTTCACAGTATTGCCACTCCTGCCCATGTATTTGATGAAGCTGCTGTAAGATGAAATATTGACCTTCCCAAGCTTCTGCATCCAATTAAAAAGCTGCACAATGCAACAAAGCACTATGTAATTACACCCATTTGCACCAATATGCAAGTCTTTTTACTTCTTTTTTTTTCCGTGTGAGGAGAAAACTAAAAGGATATATGAATGAGAAATGTGTGAAGATGCACAAACAATACACACCTATTATCCACTAGTATTTAGTTCATCCCACTAAAAGTCATGCAATTCATGCAGTTACGCTGCAGAAACCTAGAGTTTTTTTTTGTTATGTATCAAAATCCCAATCCCATAAGAGTTTGGGTTTTAACCACAAACAAATCGGGTAGGTTGCCAACGAGCATGGAGTTCAGAATCAAAGTCATAAGACCATGCTAAAGCTCTAGAAGTTTAGAAAATGAAGTTTTAGTACGGAGGTTTCGGATAAGACCAACAAACTATTTGAAAGGTGGAAAGTCAGTGTTCTTTTATTTTAGCATAACCCAAAGTGTTTTGGATGGCCTGTTATAAATAGATAGATGAAAATCCATTGCACGCAAAAGAATTACCAAATCGGGTTCTTTCACCATGCTTAGCAAAATCTTGAACAATGCATCCCACACCTAATATTTATTCTTAAAATGTACCAGAGTTAAACACTAGACTGGAAAGTAATAGATCTGATTGAACTCTGTTAGGTTTTGAAAGTTTTCCCACTGAAGTTTGAGATATTCTATAATTTTAAGGTGCTTTTGGCTTTCAATTTGGTGCAAACGATTTCTAAGCAAAGAATCCCAAGTAAAGGAAAGACTAAAGGTCAATGCAGCAAGGATAGAATACAATCTTCTGTGGGACTGCTGATCTTTCAAACATAACACTTTGAAGATGTCACTACTACAATACTCCAATGACTCGCAGAAATCATAGTGTTTGGGAACTTCCATAAGGTACAGATCATTGATGCATGTACAAGCATCTGGTATTTTAATTTCCATCAAGGAGACAAGGACTGCAAAATTAGTTGTAAGGAAATTTCCAAGGTTAACAATTTATGAGGGGGTTAACATCATTTGGGATAGATAGTGAACTTATAGTAGTATAAATGTGAAAACAAGCCTCCATTGTAATTGCATTGAAAACACTCGTTATATGAAGTATAAAACAAATAGTTATTCCATCAATAGCACCTGAGAAATCTCCCGCCATTTATTAGACTTCCCAAAATTTCGCAGAATAATATTCAGATCTTGCAACTGCAACTTGCCTCCCAATCTGCAAAATACTGATGGCCATCAGCTCCTGAATGCTAGCTGAGCCTCTTTGTTTTTTATTTTTTCTTTTTCTGAGAGGTAGCCAAGAAGTTGAAACCAATAACTATAACAAAACAAGTTGCTCGAACAAAGTTTAATTTTTGGTGCACTATACACTGAGATTGTTGTCCAAAATAAAAATGTAAGCAATCTAGACATTAGGACAGTTGTGACTTGAATCGACTGCAACCTTCACGGAGAAATCATAGAAAAGTTTCAAGTTTTGATAGTGCATGCAGTCCATAAAGATAATATTTGGAATAACAAGTCTCAAACCCAAAAAATAAACTGAAAGACCACTTCCACACAGGTGTAGAGTTTGAGCTTGATAAGGCTCTTTTGTCGATTGACATGATTTTGTTGTTATAAAGTTGTATGGTTATTTAATTTCTTCATTCCCTATGCTGATATGTTTCTTTCAATTTCCTCATTTTCAAAAAAAATGTGACTAACTAACTGTGCATGTAGATTGGGGAGCGATCGATTTGAGCATTTCATGAGCTCAAACTTAATATTGCGACTAAAGGGGTTGTCGCACAGTTAAAAAACAGCACTTTCAAGTTCATGATACCTCCATTTTAAGTGCATGGAGCACCCATCTCTTTTAGCTATCTCACATGATGGTTCGTTAGCAGGAGTATTTCAACCTTAGCAATATGGTTCTCTGAACTTAGTCAAAAACTTACCCTTTACACAGACCAGATAATTCTGACTGCAAGGAAAATGGTGAATAGCATTAACATAAAGAAAAAAAGTTGAAATGCGTTGATCATGGACTTAATTCAACTTGGTGGCCCCTACCCCCATTCAAGAACAAATGAACTACGTTCTTCTATCTAACATATAGAAAACCCATATTTCCTAATTGTTGCCACAATAAGGCTTCTGCATAAAGATCTGTTGCTTGTGAAGGACTCTGCAGCTCTAAGAATTGACAAAGAAACACCACAAAATAACTAAAGGAGTTTCCCAACATTGTGTTTGAGGATGTTGGGTGCTCCTCGGACGAATCTTCATTTTGCAAACACATGGCAAAGTCACTGTACAATGCCTGCTAGTGGAGAATCTGTCAAGATATAGAATGATAAATGGCACGTCCACATTGAAAGTTTGATGATGTCAAAAGATGAAAAACCACACAGACGAATGCTGATGAAATAGATGACAATGCACAGTGTTGGTTGAGAGATTGAATTCATGATAAACAAAAAAGTGTCAGAAATAGCCATCGGAGGTTTTATATCATCAGACATTGGAAAAGACTTATGTAAATCAGCCTGCAACATGGGTTTGTTTCAAATTCAAAAACTAGAGGGAGAAATACAAACAAGGACGAAACGGAAACAGAATGGTGGAAAGCCCAGAAATTATAATCCCCAGAAAATGAGTTTCAGAATAGAAAGAGAAATAACAGAGTGAGGACTGAAAGCCAAACAAATAGGTAAAATCCCATACAAAAGCATATCAGATTACCAACAAAAGAAATAAGCAAAACCAAATGGAAAGAACTGAGCTTTCGGCGCATGAGTTCAAGCAATGGACCTGGAAAGAGCTGAACCCAAATCAGAAGCCCCTTGAATCTCAGTTATTGCAGCCCTCCTTTCGAACCAAGGGAACGCATTATCCCGAACCGTGAGCCCATTAACCGCGTCCTCAGAAAGCACACGACTAACGCCTGCTTCACTAGAAGTGGAACCAGGCTTGTTTCTGTTTGTTTGAGAGAAGCCATTGTCCAGCTCTGCAATGTATTTTTGAACCAGAGAATGGGAAGTGGAAGTGGACTTGAATTGTGGATAGGAGAGAGCGACCCAAGTCCGAGGGCCCCTTGGACACTTTGGAAGCGTGCAAGGTGAACGCAGAGGAAAATAAATGGGATCTAAACGAGACCCACTGATGCTCTGCATCTCTCTCTAAACCCTCTCTCCTCTCTCTAGGCCTTCTATCTCTAAGCCTTCTCTGAGCTTTCAGGAAACGGTACTCCAGCAAGTCAGTTCATTGGTCTCTTGCAGAAGCAAAATGGTCAAGAAAATAGGACCGGGTAACTTATCTACCCAAGTAATGCTGTGATCCGTGAATGGGGTTTTTATTCATGTGCGTTCCCTTCCCAAAAAAAAAAAAAACGATTTTTAAGTGTTGATGGACGTGATCGATCGACAAAATATTTTTTTGAGATTCAATAATTAGGAGTCAAAATATATGTTTAGGCAAAATATATGTTTAGGCGATCTACAAAATATTTTTTTGAGCTTTAATATTTAGGAGTCAAAATATATGTTATAGGTGATTGTAAGAATTTTCAGCACCAAAACTACAACAAGATTTAAATGTGCGTCTTATTTTGATCATTAAGGTGGACACCTTATACAAATTGCACACAATAAATTATAGGTGGAATATGATTTTTAGTATCACAGTGAATTCCTTAGTGCCTCTAACATATATTGTAATACGAGCATGTATATTAGGGAAATGTTTTAATAAGGTTGCAACCTTAAAATGTAGAATCACATATGCAACTCAAAAATCTATTGAAAATGTTGTTTTAATGTTGAAAACCTCTAATCGATCATCTCGACATCGAGATGTATAAATATGGAAAAAAAAAAGTTTTTGAGTCCCTGAAAGAGTGCATCTTGCAACACATTATCTAGACCGTTCATTTTCAAGATTTTCACGTATTTATAGATCTACTTGATTTTAAAAATTTTTAATTAGGTATGAAAATAGAGTTTAAGATAATACTGAGAATTTTTTACAAAAAAATACATGTTATGATAAAATTTTAAGGTGCGCCTTAATTGGATTGTTTAAGGAGGGTCATACTATATATTTACTCCTTTTGGTATATGACCCACTTGGGAGGATTTTTTTTGGACATGAAATTCAAATAATCCCCTACAATTATTTTCAAGAGAGAAAATTGGATTAAATGTTTTTCTAACACTTAGATATCACCTTCAAACAATTTGGCAGTCTATGTTCAATTTTGGACAGCACTCTTTGAAATGCGAAAAGTGTGCAATTAAAATTTTCTCTATTTTTTTAGTTAGTCTATAGTTCGAAGAAGTTGTATAACTAAAAGTTGGGATCCTAAAAACTCCTAGATTAGATTTTAGAGCAAATTATGTACGAGCACTTTTAGGAGGCCCTTTTACCATTTGGTGATATTGTTCCCATATATTACGAGCATCAACCCCCCCTCCTTCCCCCCTTGTTCCGGCCTTTTTTTTCCTTAAATTGTCCTCCTTGACAATGAAACCACAGCATAGGAGGCATATTCTTTCCACAATCACCAAGAGCCATCTGACGTTCGCATTACCAGACAGCTCGCGTCATTGTTACTTTCTAGTTCTTTGTTGTCTAGTGTTCGAGATATCAAACAGATCTTTGGATTCCCTAAAACTCAGTGAGCCCTCTCTTCGCGTCATTTCTCTTCTCTCTTGCGCTCTATTTCCTCTCTCTCTCTGTCTCTCTCTCGCTCTTTGTAAACCAGAGCCTTCTTTCTTCACCGAGCAGCCATCTGACACGTTTGGGGTTATTTCATCCCAAAACCTCAATCCGCCATTAATCTTATTTTCTCCAAAATAAAACAAATCCATTAAACCTACCTAATTAGATAGCCAAATGTGTGCAACTGTAGCTTCAAATGGCTACTCCACAAAGAGAGATTATTTAGATCATTTATTTTTGCAATATTTGGCTATATGATGGTACTTTTTGCAATTAAAACAATGAACATTATAAGTAAAGTTTGCATTCCAAGATATATATTCACATGCAGGTGGCACGGCCAATCATACAAGGAGATATTTTTACTGACACCTATTACTCCATGAAAGAGATTCTTTAGATCATTCATTTTTTGGTTAAGCTTAGGCCCTTGATATCCCTTTTGATTTTTACCCATCTTGTTTTTATCTTTTCCCTTGCCGGTTTTCTTAAAAGATTTAGAGTTGGGTATCAGATTTGTTGGGCTCATGAGTCTCTGAAAGTTGGAGTGTCACTAGTCATCCTTTGTCTGCTTTTGCTTTGACCTTTATGATGATCTCTTCCTACTTAAGCATGCTCTCTTGGGTTGTTAGGGTAGAGGTGAAGGCTTCCCATGTGATAGGATGAGTATTCAACATTTGGCATATTTGCATATTCTTGTCATATGTTACTTGAGCTGCCTCAAGCTCTCAGACCTGTGCTCTGAACTTCTAGATGTGATTGATCAATTTTTCCTCCTTATTTCAAGATTGAGTATTACTTCATTGCTAGGATTCCCCTTGTGAGGGAAGGAGTGGCATAATCTTTCTCAAGTTTCCGATGGATTTATTTTGCAATCTACAGGGTCTGATACTCGAGACTCTAGGAATGATTCATGGGCATGAAAAGGAGATACTTAAAATAAAGTATTTTTGCCTGGCATTACTTCGTGGCTTGGTAAGGGAGTTCTCTATGAGCATCTGCCTGAGTCCTTCCTCAAAGCGAACGTAGCCAATCTTATATTTCCATGAGGCATAGTTCCTCCCATCGAATTTTTTACATTAAAAATTCAACCGTGAAACCTTTGCCTACCATGTTCTTGACTCTAACATGCAACTAAAAAAAGGACAAATGAAACAAAATTATCCAAGAGATTGGAGACCCTGACTCATAACAATTGGTCTTGGCTTATGTTAAATTTGATGCATCCCAAGATATGTCACAAAGACAAAAGGGAATTTCACAACCATAATAAAGTGTAACTAGTATTTCTTTAAAAGGAAATAGGAAATGGGTAGTATTTAGAACATATGGATGGAGTGGCCAAAAGGGCCACACTCTAATTAGTTTTATAGTGAATTGTCCTAGGGTTTTATATTTTCTTAGGTCTTTTGATTTATCCGAAGAACGAAATACTAATGAAAATTATTCCCCTTATTCCAAGGAGTGGTGAGGAGGTAAGGACACAATCATCATAGGTCTACTAAACATATGTTGGATATCAAGTTTCCTACTCTATTTTGGCCCCCTTGTGCAACTCATTGTATTGATCTTATGCTATAAGATTTTAGGAAGTTCGATACAGTTTACAAAATTGTGGAAACAATCAAATTAATCACCAAATTCATATATAACCACAGATTAGACATTAGCTTGATGTATAGGCATACAAATGGTTGAGAGCTAATCATGCCAACAATTTAGTGGAATGAATTAATTGTGTTGATCTAGAAGGGCAGCAAGGACAGATATCTCTAACTTCACTTTTAGCTCATATTTTTTGACTAGTGTCACAAATATTATCCAAATTATAGAGCCCCTTGTTAAGGTCTTGAGAATGGTCGATGGTGATGACAGGCTTGCCATGGGCTATATTAATGAAGTTATAAATGAGCAACAACGGCTATTAAAAAAATATTTACAAGGGAAATAAGTTAGATGACAAGTGTTATTTTGATTGGATGGTAAAAGGGCTGGAGTTGTGGCGGTAGAACCGCCATACTCTAGTTACCACATTATGGTTTCGATTTCGACCATTAACGCCACCCCATTAATACCTTCAAAAAGTTAACTCTTAATCTACTTGGAAAAAAAAAACGGTAGGGGCCGTCTTCCGCATTGAATCACCCAAAAAAAGAAAGTGCCATTTGGATGTTTTTGAAGCAAGAAAAGCAAGTATGCCTTCCTATCAGTCATGTAGGACATTTGCTTACTCCCCATTTTTCTATAATATTTGCTCTAGCTAAGGTGTCAGCCCTGGAGTACTTGATTACATCAACTGCACTACCAAATGTTCGAATCTGAATGAAGATCAACCAATAAATCAAATTATATTAAGAAGCGACATGAAACTTTGGTTCTCCCATAGCTATTCATTCACGCAATGCCTTTCTCCCATACATGATAATTGAGTTTTAACTCTTCATAATTACAAATTTTAATATTATGTTAATTTTTAAATTAAAATATTTTAATATTAGAAACTATTATATATTACAACATAATTACCAAATTATTGCCCTAGTTTTGTATATGTATAATTCATGGGTGTGGTTTGTATAGAGCCTAAGCTCTAAACAATCACATTAGATCCTACCTTTAAATAGAGTCGAGAAATGTAGTTTTAATATTGGAAATCTTTGTGATAGCTTAAAATATATTTTCATATTTACTTATAAAGTTCAAAGCTTAAAAAATAGTGTAGATTGACAAATCTATGAAAACTTGGAAATCTTGAAATTGATGGTCAAAAAATGCGTTACAAAGTACACTATTTCCAAAACTTGAAATCTATTTTTTTCTCATGTTCATACATCTTGATGTCTAGATGATCAATTTAAAGATATCTGGGCATCGAAACAACATCTTCTAGTGAGATTTTTGAGGTATGCTCAAATTTGATTGTTTAGAGCCTCGGCTTCATATAAATTTTTCCCACAATTCATTGGTGGGCACATTTTGGAAGTCACGTCGCTCACCTCCAAATAGTGGCTATTTATATCCTTAGCTAGAATTGCAGTGCCACAGGACGCGACATGAGAATACTTAAAAAAATAATAAGTTGGAGTATCAAATATTTAATAATTTGGTTTATGTTATGTATGACTCGAGGACAAGGCAAAGGTAAGAGATAACATTTCAATGAAATACTTGTCAATTTATGTGTTATACTTGTATTTGTTGAAGATAGACCAAGTCAAATTGACTGGTCAAGTTGGTTATTGGTGATAAGCCTCATATTATTTTCCTCTATCTTCAATATTCATTGTGATTATCTTCTATATATAGAGGCACGTATTTGTATAATTTTTTATCCAAAAATAGTGAAGATGTAGTCAGTTAGGGCTTTGGATCTGTCGACTTAAGGCTTCGACATGTACCACGTAAATATTGTGTTAACGGTTCTCTCTTCTTCTATCTCCATGTATACTCCCTGCCACAAATTTTAACAGTATTATTTATTTTTCATAACTAAGAATTGGTTATTGTATATTACAATGAATGCATATAAGGACATTAAGCAAGTAAAAAATCATCGATCTTATTAATTTGGATATAGTTCACG